TATTGCCCAGTAACAAACCATTACTATTGCCCAGTAACAAACCATCACTATTGCCCAGTAACAAACCATTAATATTGCCCAGTAACAAACCATTACTATTGCCCAGTAACAAACCATCACTATTGCCCAGTAACAAACCATTACTATTTCCCAGTAACAAACCATTACTATTTCCCAGTAGAAAACCATTGTTATTGCCCAGTTAGAAACTATTGCTATTGCCCAGAAACAAACCATTGCTATTGCCCAGTAACAAACCATCACTATTGCCCAGTAACAAACCATTACTATTTCCCAGTAACAAACCATCAGTATTGCCCTGTAACAAACCATTACTATTTCCCAGTAACAAACCGTTACTATTTCCCAGTAGCAAACCGTTACTATTGCCCAGTAACAAGCCATCATTATTGCCCACTAACAAACCATTATTATTGCCCAGTAACAAACCATCACTATTGCCCAGTAACAAACCATCACTATTGCCCAGTAACAAACCATTACACATTTCCCAGTAACAAACCATCATTATTGCCCACTAACAAACCATTATTATTTCCCAGTAACAAACCATTACTATTGCCCAGTAACAAACCATTACTATTGCCCAGTAACAAACCATCACTATTGCCCAGTAACAAACCATTAATATTGCCCAGTAACAAACCATTACTATTGCCCAGTAACAAACCATCACTATTGCCCAGTAACAAACCATTACTATTTCCCAGTAGAAAACCATTGTTATTGCCCAGTTAGAAACTATTGCTATTGCCCAGAAACAAACCATTGCTATTGCCCAGTAACAAACCATCACTATTGCCCAGTAACAAACCATTACTATTTCCCAGTAACAAACCATTACTATTTCCCAGTAACAAACCATCAGTATTGCCCTGTAACAAACCATTACTATTTCCCAGTAACAAACCGTTACTATTTCCCAGTAGCAAACCGTTACTATTGCCCAGTAACAGACCATTGCTATTGCCCAGTAACAAACTGTTACTTTTGCCCAGTAACAAACCATTATTATTGCCAGTAACAAATCATTACTATTGCCAGTAACAAACCATTGCTATTGCCCAGTAACAAAGCCATTACTATTGCCCAGTAACAAAACATTACTATTGCCAGTAACAAACTGTTACTTTTGCCCAGTAACAAACCATTATTATTGCCAGTAACAAATCATTACTATTGCCCAGTAACAAACCATTGCTATTGCCCAGTAACAAGCCATCATTATTGCCCAACTAACAAACCATTATTATTGCTCAGTAACAAAACCATCACTATTGCTCAATAACAAACCATTACTATTGCCCAGTAGAAAACCATTGCTATTGCCCAGTAACAAACCATTGCTATTGCCCAGTTAGAAACTATTGCTATTGCCCAGAAACAAACCATTGCTATTGCCCAGAAACAAACCATTGCTATTGCCCAGTTAGAAACTATTGCTATTGCCCAGTAACAAACCATTGCTATTGCCCAGAAACAAACCATTGCTATTGCCCAGTTAGAAGCTATTGCCCAGTAACAAACCACCACTATTGCCCAGTAACAAACCATTACTATTGCCCAGTAATGAGCCATTACTATTGCCCAGTAACAAACCATCACTATTGCCCAGTAACAAGCCATCACTGTTGCCCAGTAACAAGCCATCACTGTTGCCCAGTAACAAGCCATTACTATTGCCCAGTAACAAGCCATTATTATTGCCCAGTAGAAAACCATTGCTATTGCCCAGTTAGAAACTATTGCTATTGCCCAGAAACAAACCATTGCTATTGCCCAGTAACAAACCATTACTATTTCCCAGTAACAAACCATTACTATTGCCCAGTAACAAACCATCACTATTGCCCAGTAACAAACCATTACGATTTCCCAGTAACAAACCATCACTATTGCCCAGTAACAAGCCATCACTATTGCCCAGTAACAAACCACTATTGCCCAGTAACAAGCCATCACTATTGCCTAGTAACAAGCCATTATTATTGCCCAGTAACAAACCATCACTATTTCCCAGTAACAAACCATTACTATTGCCCAGTAACAAGCCATTACTATTGCCCAGTAACAAGCCATCACTATTGCCCAGTAACAAACCATCACTATTGCCCAGTAACAAACCATCACTATTGCCCAGTAACAAACCACTATTGCCCAGTAACAAGCCATTACTATTGCCTAGTAACAAGCCATTATTATTGCCCAGTAACAAACCATCACTATTGCCCAGTAACAAACCATTACTATTTCCCAGTAACAAACCATTACTATTGCCCAGTAACAAGCCATCACTATTGCCCAGTAACAAGCCATCACTATTGCCCAGTAACAAACCATTACTATTGCCCAGTACCAAACCATTACTATTGCCCAGTTACAAACCATTACTATTGCCCAGTACCAAACTATTAATTTATCTTTTAGGGACACTGTCAGTGGTGCCTCATTTCCTCACATCAATTTCAGCATTCCCATGGCGATGGTTCAGGAGACGTTTGCTAATTTTTTGAGAACGGGTGGTAAGAATGCAATTCTTTATTAATATTATAAACAGATATATCAAATAGTAATTTTACAACTTTCATTCTAACATACTAAAAGCTGTATAGTGACACTGCTGTTTTGTTTCTTTAATACATTTAATATAGTTTTATATTTATTCCATAGTCAGCTGACATGGAGCTTATGGTATCAACTTTTCATAAACAAAAATTCAGATTGCTATTTGGATATTTACAATTTGTTGTTGATATATGTAATAAAAATATTATCTTTGAACTTATAACTCAAGTGCAGGTTTATGCGCACTTGGGAGGAACATTTTTTTTTTTTATTACCCAGACAATCTTGGTTAAAAGTTATGTTAAAATTCAGAGCTTTGTCAATGGTGAAACATTCTCAAAAAAAACAATTGTTTAATCTAGGGAACTGATGCATGTGTATGTAATTAAAAGTTTTCATTGCTCTTTGATTGACAAGTCACTGTTGATGATATATTCAAATGAGTTGCTGGCCTCAGTACGTGCAGCGGTGTGTGACCGCTGTGTCCTGGCTCCATCAAAAGTAGCTGTGATTTATTCATCAGGACCCACAATATGACACTATAATTTATGAATGTGTCAAACTATTTTTTAAAAAAAATTGTATTAGCATTTTTTGAACGTGAGGGAATTCTACTTAGTCGTTTAGCTTATATAAAATGTTTTTTTTTGTTTTTTTTCAGATGTAAAGCTGTTAGATTCTTGGAATATTCATGACAGTCGCATTCAGAAGATCTGGAAATTACAAGATAGTCTGTCAAGTTACAAACATGCCGACTTTTTGAACAGTCGATTGTAGTATTAAGAAATCTGTTTTTATAAGGGTTACGATCATCATGACTGCATACCATGTGCTTGAATGTATTTCGATTTTTTAAAAATAAATAATTATTTGTTGCTATGCATAGTATGGGACCCCTACTGAATGCATGCAGTCGAGACAACCACCGCCCTCTAAAGAAGAATGGGGATTCGCCTGAATTTTTTAATGTGAGAGCTTCACAGATGCCTCAGGTCTCA